ACATTGAATTAGAAGGGAAGTAATGTTGAACAAAACTTATAATAAGTAAATCAATCGAAAATTGACTTTTCTTTCCATCGTATCAATGGATAACAGTTATGAATGTCTGTGGAAGATGCTTCAAATCATATTTATTGTCACAAATAATATAAACATCATCCATGTACTTTTCATACAGGCGTAAGCTGTCAAAAGTTGTTTTAAGTTGATTGTTTTCCAAACTGGCCATGAAACAGCCAGTAATGAACCAAGTCGAGATCCCATTGCTATGCCATCCCTTTATATATAAATTACGTCCTTTTATGAAAATTGTACACTAAAAGTGCATTGTACTAGTAATTCTTTTAAACAGGATTTTGGCAGTCCGATATTAATTCCATTATCATCTATGTATTTGCAGATAAAGTTAATGGTCTCTGTAAATGGGACATTAGTGAATAGCGATTCGACAACAAATGGAAGGATAATTTTGCTACTTACATTCACTTCTTCTATGTTATCATTGAGTTTAAAAGTTTCATGTAGAGAGTGCATACAAAAACGTTTTCTTACGGTTTCCAGGAGATCTGCCAGCCACTTTTCTATAGAGTGATAAGCAAATCCGGACATATCAAGAACTGGTCGGAGAGGCAGACTAAGTTTGTGTACTTTAGATGGACTATATAGTCGTGGTATTAATGGTCCTGTTGGTTTTATGTGCTCGTACATACATCTTCGTTAATTACAGGAACATTATTCATTCTCTTAAGAATTTCATTTAGTTCGGTCTTGTTTTTCTCAACCTTACCAAATATGCAGCTCGATTAGTCGCATAACATTCTGACCTGATATCTTTGTCTTAAATGTTTGTCTCTGTTTTGTTTGAGTGTTTCAGAGTGTCCTGGATGTAGTTCAGCTGGTATTGAATAACTTATATCTCGTTTTAGTTAACAATTAGGTGATTTCACCACTAAGTGTTTGGAAAATAAAAGTATACCATCAAGATCCATGAAAGTCTAACGATGAAAACAGTTTACGAATTCGACGTATGAGAGATAATTATTTATTTAACCAATATGAATGTAGGGAAAAACGAATGCAAAGGGGTCATAATAGTAAATGATTAATAAGAATAAAAGATCAGATAAGGGTATCAAGAACTAATTACTGAGTATGAAGTATTGTATTAAGAGTATAGGGTAACAGTAAAATGAAAGATTTCTCGTACAGCGTTTTTACGTAGAGTTCAGGTTTGAACAGCTCAATAGTTAAACCCTCTTTAGTTCACAACTGTTTTATTTGTACTCATTTCGATCCCAACTCTTTGACCGTATATATTGTTTAAAAGGATAAATCTGCTGTGACAGCTTGGGTAGGACTGAAGACATGTTACGAAATTTAGCTATCGATTGTTTTGGATTCTCTTTATGAAAGCTTTGGACAGTAATGCTCAGAGATAAGTTTAGAAGTCCATCGCTTAGTAGGGCTGATGTAATCTGCTCCAGAAGGAGCAATAAACTGATAGATCTACATTGGTTTGATCCAATACAGCACTTGATCTGAAACTTTGAAAGTAATTCAGTCTTTGTTAACATGCACTCAATGACTGAGCAAATTTTAGTCCTTAATATCAGCGACTGAATAATACAAATCCTTATGAATAAGCTTTCTATATGGGGAATAAGTTCGTGACCTTCTGGACTCAGCAGTTTAGTGGATAATGAGTTGGTCTTAACTCCGCCTGGAGTCCCTCCGGGGGCTACTGCCGGTCCCAAGCCCGGATAAAGGAGGAGGGTTGGGCATGGGGTTAGCGTCCCCATCCCGTAGAAAACTAACTCGCTAAAAAAAAACGCTAACCAGAAAGAATTATTCAAACCTTTTAACCTCTGCCCTGGGAGTCAGAAGGTCTTCATTTAGAAGAACTATGACGCCTCATGATGAAAGCCGAATTTCTTTGGAAGTTACGAGGCCGATGCTTCTTCTGACAACCAGAGCGACCATTTATTAAGTTACATGGAATGTTCGTACAATGTGGGACACCGGGAGAGCCTTCCAAATTGCTGCAGAAATGAGAAGATACAACCTAGAGGTACTTGGGATCAGTGAAACACATTGGACGCAAGTTGGACAACAACGACTAACTTCAGGAGAGCTTCTGTTATACTCCGGCCATGAAGAAGAAAATGCCCCACATACACAAGGAGTTGCATTGATGCTGTCCAAACAAGCGCAAAATGCGCTTATAGGATGGGAATCTCATGGACCAAGGATCATCAAAGCCTCGTTCAAAACAAAAAAGGAGGGCATTTCAATAAACGTCATCCAATGATATGCGCCTACCAACGACTACAATGAAAACGCTAAAGATCAATTCTACAATCGGCTGCAGTCAATCGTCGAGAAGTGCCAAACAAAGGACCTGACCATTCTGATGGGAGATTTCAACGCCAAGGTTGGAACGGACAACACTGGATATGAAGACATCATGGGACGACATGGACTGGGAGAAAGAAACGAAAATGGTGAGAGATTTGCAAACCTATGTTTCTTCAATAAACTGGTCATAGGCGGCACCATATTCCCACATAAACGCATTCACAAAACCACATGGACTTCACCGGATCACACCACGCAAAACCAAATCGATCATATTTGCATCAACAAAACGTTCAGGAGGACTATAGAGGACGTGAGAACCAAGAGAGGAGCTGATATAGCATCAGATCATCACTTGCTGGTCGCCAAGATGAAATTGAAACTCAAAAAGCACTGGACAATGGGGCGGACAATATCACAAAAGTTCAATACGGCCTTTCTTCAGGATACTAACAAACTCAACAAATTCAAGATAGTCCTCAGCAACAAGTTCCAGGCCTTTCATGATCTACTCAAGGGAGAAGGAACTACTGTGGAGAGCAACTGGAAGGGGATCAAAGAGACAATCACTTCAACATGTCATGAGGTCCTGGGTCACAAGAAGCATCATCACAAGGAATGGATCACTGTTGATACACTGGATAAGATTCAAGAAAGAAGGAACAAGAAGACAGCAATCAATACCAGTCGAACAAGAGCAGAGAAAGCCAAAGCACAAGCTGAATACACAGAAGTAAACAAACAAGTGAAGAGGAGTATCAGAACCGACTAACGTAAATATGTGGAAGATTTAGCAACGACGGCGGAAAATGCTTCAAGAGAAGGGAACATGAGACAACTGTAAGACATAACAAAGAAACTCTCTGGAAATCGCGGCAAACCAGAACGACCAGTGAAAAGCAAGGAAGGCGAGGTAATCACCAACATTGAAGAGCAACAAAACAGGTGGGTAGAACACTTCGAAGAACTCTTGAATCGACCAGCTCCACTGAACCCACCCAACATCGAAGCAGCACCCACGGACCTCCCAATCAACGTTGGTCCACCAACAATTGAAGAAATCAGCATGGCCATCAGACAAATCAAGAGTGGCAAAGCAGCAGAACCAGACAACATTCCAGCAGAGGCACTAAAAGCAGACGTAGCGGCAACTGCAATGATACTCCACATTCTCTTTAATAAGATTTGGGATGAGGAACAAGTACCAAAAGACTGGAAAGAAGGACTTCTGATCAAAATACCGAAAAAAGGCGATCTCAGCAACTGTGATAACTACAGGGGCATCACTCTTCTTTCAATATATATATATATATATATATATATATATATATATATATATATATATATATATATATATATATATATATATATATATATATATATATATATACTGGAAAGTAGTGTTCCATTAATGAAGAAGCCCAAATTACACATAACAAATCAGCGACCGATCTTTACCTGTGAAAATCCTTATCCTTTATTTGGTCTATATTTATTAAGGGAAGGAATGGTGTGAAACTCAATTTATGTCATTTATTTCCTTCAGTCGGTTTCTTTTACAAATTTTATTAAAGCCAAAACAACAAGTGGATTTATCTTATTTCATGGTTTTTCATCAGCTGCTTAGAACCGTATTCGTATTGAAGTGTAACATTGAGGTATGACGTAATATAGGGTGAAAGACATCACAATAAAGATTATCAGTGATAACTATATATAAGTATAAAGGTGAATGCGAGATCGTTTGAAGATCAAATTAGAAAACATATAGGATAAGGGAGTAATTATACAGAGTCTGTAGACTGATAAGATGGATTGTATGATAATTTTACAAAATTTGAAGAGGTACATAAGTTTTAGATCACTAGAAGACAGAGCAATGAAATGGCAATTGTCTAGGATTCGAAATTCGTAAGATAGGTTACATTCAATAGCTTTATATTTAAATCTTTATATATTAAATGAATAATAATTAGATTTGCTTGCATTATAAAAACCGGCATGCACATCCTTGTAATTTCGATTACCTTAGCAAATAACCATTTAAAGAAACAGTCCAAAATAATGTGGAATAAAGTTCGAAATATTTATGTGGATAATCGTTCCGATTTTACGTACTGTTCCACACATGTAAACTATTTATTTCAATATCGTAATGAATTATCAAACGTTCTATTCAACTACTAGTTAAAGAAATCTAAGTGTCGGAATGCAAATAACTACACTAATATCAAACAAGGCAGTCATTCTTTAAATAGCATATTATTTACAACTCAATAAGAGAAGTTTTGCAATGTTATTATTGTGTCTGTCTTATAGGGTATATTTAGACTATAATCTGATTTTCACAGAAATCTATAATTAACTTGATTCATTTGAGTGACAGGGAAGTTAAAATTTTTTCCTGATATTGATTTTCTTTCTCAGTTTAAAAGAAATTATGCATGTGGCAAATTTACTTTGTTCACAATAGAAAAAATACCTATGTTATGAGAGGAACTTAACTGCACTTTAGCACGAGATCAGCGAATGAATCAATTTATTTATGTCAATATTGGATTACATATATTTCAATGTAAGAAATTTATTGGTTGTCAACTACACAATGGGGAAGTTAATCAATTAACCAATAGAAAGACCGGTTATGAATCGTGAATTACAGGTGAATTAAAAAAAGAGAATACTATTATTTCGAAATTCTACTACTTCATTTTCTTGAAAACAGTTTGATAAAGTAAACAGGTAGATGGACAGTGCTGAAAACAAAATAATGAAGATTAAAGTTGTATTTCACGATCTCGAACAAGAACGGGAACAACATTCAGTGGACGATGGAGAAGAAGACGAATCCATGGATAACATTGAGCCGTTACGTCAAACTACTCAGAGAAAATCAAATGAATCCTTGCCAACTTTACTACAACGAGCTCAATCAAGTGATTCACCATTTGCGATTGGTAATAAAGAGAAAACGAGCTTGAATAAATTAACATCATCTCGTTCATTGAGTCGTGGAAATGTTAGGAGACCTAGTGAAATTTCAATCAATGATTTTCTATCTATGCCACCAGTGCTTGAAAGTATAGATGCTCAGCGTAGATCGACATTGTATTCAGATGAAAAACACAACCCTTTAGACAGACGTGGAAGTACGTCATCTGAAGAAAATATAGAGAAAAGTAAACCAGAAGAATCCAATGATGATGAGTGTGGTGCTGTCGAAAATGAATGTGAACATGGATCACACTGAAACCGAAGGGGAAGGAGGAAAAGAAACACTAGGAATTGGAGTATGCAATATCTGTGAGAGTAACTTTATACAAATGGAGCATTTTTATTACATATGCTAACGATTTTTTCTGTTGGTGAAACTAATTTTCATGTTTTTGATTGATTTCTGTTATTATAATTTGTAATTTTTTAGCGGGTATTTATTTGGTTCAAGGTTGGCATCAAATAAATTATCATTGGTATGCCCAAAGTCAACAACAGGATAATTTCGTCATAAAAGTGAACTATCTCAAAATCTAGATTTATCGATATTCACGTGAAGGGAACCACCAAACATCAAGTTTGCGAATGACCTTATCATCTTTGTGTATAGGAAATGCTGTGTTGCGTAGGTAATTTCCAGTTGAGGAGACATTTGTTAATGTTGCTCAGACGAAGATAAGGACATACTTTATCGTTAGCCCTTTACAACTGTGCATACAGTGAGCTCATCTCAGTATCTGGTACCATTTCTTCATATTCGTAGAAACCACTTTAATTTCTGATGAGATAGTCCTGAATGTCTCTTCTCCCGATCACTACTATTTTCTTCTTCCTAAGGTTTTTTCGATGTTGTCCAACAGAAATTGTGTTGAAAAATAGTTTCAAAAACGATATAACTAAGATTACTGCTGACTAAACTAACCAGAAAATAATTTTCCGTCTATTGTTTTGGACACTATTACTTAAGTTACTTTGGTTTTTATAACTATTGAAGTGTATTAGTAGTAAAATAGTTATAGACAACCTCATAGATGCTCTAAAACTCCTTGCAATTAGTGGAAAATTCTAGCACACCAAACATTTACAATTCGAGTTCGAAAGTAATCACTAGACTCAACAGCTTGCATGCAACTCACTGTTTCCATTTTGGGGTGTCGATACGATATTCTAATCTGACATTCCATAACTACTCAAATTGGCATTTTTCGGACACATTATCATAACGAATCATTCACTTAGAGGGTTGTTGAGAGTCAGAGTGAATATTAGTGATCTGCATTGAAATTATCATCATGTATTTATCACGAATAAATTCAAGAGTTAGGTACAGTGGACAGACGTAACTCGAGTCATTAAATGATATATAGATTCCTACTAACTTGCTTGACTGTGACCCTGTTAATCATAAAATATAAGGCTTCCTGAGTTCAATCGCATTTAGTGTTACGGGTCCAGTGATTATTATAATGATGATAATTCGTGACGAATGCTATCTTCACATTTAATGAATAAAACGGTGACGTATATATATTTAAATAATCGATTCTACCAACTAGGTAAGAGTGAACAGTGGCACCATATGAGTAACCTAGTTAGTTGTAGAATCGTTTTTTGTATCGAAACACAAATTAATTTATTGACAGAATTTGTAGTGATACATTATTATTTATCAAATTTAGTTAACAGGTTTTTATGAAATTGTATTTTGTTTAATTTAATTCATTCCCTGATCCCAAGGAGCTGGAAACACCAAAAGTATGTAATCCACTGGGAAATTATAGTTTGTAATTGCAAATTATCAATAATCTGCATTAGCTTGTATTAGATGATGAACCTGTATTGTTTTAGCTTGTCGAAAAAAACTGCCGGCTAGATAAGTTAATGAAAACCCTTTAAACAATGTCAAAAACTAATATATTAATTTTTTTATCTCATGATTATCTATTATAGGATTCCATAATATGATTGTAACTTATAAAAATGTTATTCTTTTTGATAATGGACTATGATACAGCAGTGTCTACGAGGAGGCGTTTCGCTATGACAGTCTAAGTGTTTGAGTGAAATTAAACTAAATCTTCAAAGTTGTTTTGGCACACTCATCTATGCAGCGTACTTCGACTACAAAAAAAACCTATAAAGATGATCTCGGTAAATATAATAAATATACACTCCGAAGGCGAAGTCGTACTGCTGACTGTACAGGGGTGTGACAGCAGTAAGATGTTTCCTTCAAACAACCAGCATGACAGCGATGCTGCCTTACCACAAGGAGGGGTGGGGTTAGAAAAGATCAACCCTGAAAATGCACACCTCGCCTTATCCCACGGATATCCGTCTCCGGTGGTAAGGTCCCAACAGGTACGGAGCTAACACGAAAGTTACCCATAAAAAGGTCGTGTGTGACCGACCTCAAGCAGCTGTCCCTTGGGCACTGCGGTCACTAAGACTACCTCTAATCCAATTCCCTCTTCAGATACCTCCAGAACAACCCTTCCACGGTGTGGGCAACCGGGAAGTGATAACCGCCCTCATACCTCTAACAGCACTCAAGACCATTGTATTCATAATCAACCTCCCTCTTCAATTTCTATTATCTCTCCTACATCAACCTTCAACCCTAAACTTCCTCTTTTGGCTTCCCTCTTAAGTGTCACCATAGCCAACGATTCTAGTGCTCAAAACACTGTCCCAGGTCTACGGAAACCTCGCTCCAAACTACACATTGGAGTCTTCAATGTACGCACCCTATGTCAAATCGGCCAGCAGGCTTCCTTGGCTAAAACTCTAGAATCCCGTACCATTGATGTATGCTGTGTCTCCGAAACACGTATACAGGATTCCAGTGTGGTCATTCACTTGACCTCACCTCGGCAAAACGGAGAGCCAACGAGATACACCCTACGTGTATCTGGTGACCCGATGGCCAGTTCTCGTGGACTGGTAGGTGTAGACATAACACTAAGCATGAGGGCGGAACAAGCACTGCTAGAGTGGATCCCCGTCAACAGTCGTCTATGTACTGTTCGACTAAACGGCTCCGTAAGAACTCGGAAGGATAGGGACACACGTCGTTGCCTTTTTGTTGTTTCTGCCTACGCTCCCACTGACTGCAGCTCAGATGATGTGAAAGATGAATTTTACAGAAAGCTTTCTGAACTTCTTCAGAAAGCTAAACGCTCAGACATAGTACTCGTAGGGGGTGACTTTAATGCTCAGATAGGTAGCTTAAACCACACAGAAAGGCATTTAGGTGGATATTTTAGCATCCCGGCACAGCGAACAGATAATGGTGACCGTCAGCTGCAACTGTGCTCAGACAATCGCTTATTTATAGCAAACACAAATTTTAAGCATTAGGAGAGACATCGTCTAACATGGCGACCCCCTACACCAAACCAACGATGAACTCAAATAGACCATATTGCCATCAGTCATCGTTGGAGAGGGTCGGTAGAAGGTTGTCGCTCATTCTGGAGTACCTGGTTGGACTCCGACCACACCCTAATACGGGCACGCATCTGCTTGCGCCTCACTTGACGCAAAAAAGCCACATTAAAAAGACCCATTAGAACTGAGTTGAGTAACGAGAAAATCTAAAGTAGGTTCCAGGAACAACTGAGGTCACAACTAGGTAGCTCTGAGGACGAGGCTGACCCAGATGTTGCTTGGAAAGACATACAAGCAGCTGTGGAAGCAGCAGTGACATATATTAACAACTTAAACCACAGAGTTTCAAAGAACCAGTGGATTTCTTCAAGGTCTATTGCACTGATGGATTCTCGTAAACTCATCCCATCAGGCTCTGAACACGATGAAGAGCGACAACAAATCAGATCTAGGTTAACTAAAAGTCTAAGGAACGACCGTGAGCAACGAAAGCAAAAGAGGTGGAAAAGGTGGCGGCTATAGGGAACACAAGACAGCTCTACAGACTAATAAAAGAAACTGGAATAAATAAGTCAAGTGTAAGTCAGACTATTTCGGGAAAAGGCGACACTCTCATCTGCCCCCAGTTCAGACGTTTAGGGCGATGGGCAGAACATTTCAGCTACTCTACAACTACCCTACATTCCCAGACAGTGTGAACGGAACATTGAAGTAGGTCCCCCAACTCTAGCAGAAGTTCAAAAGGCTATAGTTAATCTGAAACGAGGAAGAGCAGCTGGTCCAGATGGATTGGCTCCAGAAGTCTTTAAGGACGGTGGTCCAATTTTAGCGGTTAGGTTGACTAATATTTTAGCTAAGATCTGGGAGTCAGATGTTATTCCACCTGACTGGTCGCAATCACTTATCGTTCCAATATACAAGAAAGGATCAAAATCATCTTGTGACAACCATAGAGGGATTAGTTTAACTAATATAGTATCGGAAATACTAGACTCGATAATTATCAGATGCCTAACTAAGACTCGTGAACTGCACACACGAGAGAATCAAGCTGGCTTCAGACCTGGTCGTGGCTGCATCGACCACATATTCACCATTCGTCAGGTTCTAGAACATAGGCACACTTATCGGCGTCTCGCAATGGTGGTCTTTCTTGACTTAAAAGCAGCATTTGACTCGGTAGACCGCGAGATTCTGTGTCAGTGTCTGTCATTGAAAGGCGTACCTCAAAAGTACATAAACCTTGTAAAGGCTCTTTACTCGAACACTAACAGTCGAGTCAGAGCTTATGGCGAACTGTCACCTGCTTTTGCGACCTCAAGTGGTGTCCGTCAAGGCTGTCCACTTTCTCCATTTTCGTTTAACTTCATCATAGACCTACTGATGGAAATAACATTCTCGTCGACTGAATTCTCGGGTATTGATCTCCTTCCAGTAGGTCTACTTATCGACTTAGAATACGCTGATGATATAGTCCTGTTTGGTGAAGATGCTGATAAAACGAAGTCTTTTGGTAGCACTAAGCAACAATGCCATAATGTTTGGAATACGCTTCTCTCCCTCTAAATGCAAACTGCTGCTTCAGGACTGGTCTGTGTTAACACCTGAACTTAGGATAGAGAGTGAAGTAGTCGAACGCAATAATAACACAAAGTAATTGTTCACCAGTCAATCAAAACTTAGTCGGTCTGGGTACATCAAAAATGTGCGGAAATATCGCATTAGTAATTAGCTAATAAGTAAAAAAACAACCTGTTTATATTGGAAATTGTCATGATTTTCCCTCAATATACACTTTTTAAAATGCCGGAGACAAAACATCATAAACAATACACATTGACATGACATGAAATACTCCAAGGAATTTACGTGAACCGACATGTCTTTGGAGTGTTTTCTAAAAATCTGAACTGGCAATAGACTGATGATTTTTTAGAGGTGAAGCCGTGGCTTAGTGATTAAGGCGTTCGATTTTCAGCCGCTAAGTCCCAAGTTGAAATTCTGCTTTGCCTACTTCAGTTTGGGCGGCCTGTTAGTATCATTAGCCCTCGTATTTAGAGTGAAGATTTCAATAGAATTTATAAGGTCATAAAAATTTTGTTTCGTATAAATAAAGTTTGGGAAGGAGTTCCAGAACATTGAATTAGTGATTAGAATTGATGGAGTTAAAAAACATTAGACGATTGTGTAATGAAGCAACTGAATGTAGATTAATGGTGATAAAGAACAATATGAATTGAAGGAAAATGACAATAATGTAATTAAACTTCAGAAAAAGTTGAAATAATGAATGACATAATAAATAAAAAGGGGTTGATTGTTGCCAGGGTAAAGAAAGATTTATTACTGCCTCTTTTTGTGTACATAGATCTGGTTTTAGACCTTTGATTGCTATCGCTTCGGCAAATTTCAAAAGGTTGAATTTTGATGGTTCGCTAATTACCTTGAAGGACTTTGAATCGGAAGCAGGCTCTCTTTTCTGTTCTACCAATGTAACTGCTTCGGCAGATACACGTAAATTCATATACGCAGTTGGTGGTAAGATGAAAGGGATACCTATCGACCTTTGATTGTGTTAAAGAACATATTGTTTTGGACAGGACAATAAGTTTAGCTGAAGTTCTTGTCAATGCAAATTTTAACCTTATGTGTAGGAGTGTTTTTTGTTCTAACTAGCGGGATTATTAGACGAGCCCTTAATCGTAATAGGCACAAAATGTTCAAAAATACTTTAATATTATATTTAAAGTGCTGTCAGTTTCTATGAATATCTAGCCTTACTCAAAGGTAATTGGAGCTACAACGCGAATTAAGGGGAGAAAAAGCCTGAGTAAATATTTTATAGGATTCATTTTGACATTTGTGTAATTCTTCTCGAATGAAAATTTGGTACGAAACAATAGCTGCAATAGCCAAATACAAAAGCATTTTCGTTGTTAAATTCTCTTCGTCGGCAAATCTCAAAACTACACGTATCAATCTAGACAAAGCTACTCTCAAAATATCTATTAACTCTAGTGAAATTTTGAATTCAATAGCACCCACCAGTGATCAGTGAAATGTAGTACATATTATCAACCGAGGCCGGAAATTGCTTAGTTACATAAAGAATACATTTTGGTGAGAATATATTCATCGTAGCATGTTTGCTAATTTATATGCAGAGGGTAACTGAAACCCCGATATCTATATCACGAATCACATTAAGAGATAAATCCTTTTAATTTAAATCAGAATGTTCGGATGTACTGCAACAAAAAACAGAATTTAAAATTACACACTACCATACGTAGTCTGTGCAATAAATAGACGAACTTAAGGCATAAATACCTCATTTACAAAATGTAAGGTACATCAATCTTGTATTATCAAAACACCCCTCAATCATGGCAATGGATAAATTCTATTTCCATTATACGAAATTAATATGGAAGTCCCCCTCATTATTCCGTTCCGTGGAATCGTGTACACAGACGATTTCCTCAATCTCAGTTCATAGGGAATCACCTAGAGAACGAATCGCCGATCATAAAGTATTAGACACCACATACATTTCACCAACGAATGAGGTCAGTGGTTGTTCTAGCCTTGCATTATCCTATTCGTATACACGGCTCTTACTTAAATATATCTATCATTTGAAAACTGTTTACCCTAATGTCATACCACAAAAAAGGGTTTTGTGACTCACCCGAATTCTTTCCGATTTTCTTCAAAAGCTTTAATAGTTCGTTTTGCGTATTTATTTGACAGACTAGTTAAGACAGCTAGAGCTTTTGTAAGCCAAATATATGTTTATCACTAATTTTTTTAAAACGACTTAGCATTTCGACTACAACCCTTAACGTGACAAGGGCAGAAACTACTCAGTCAAGTTTTCGTAAAAATGTTTACCTATGAAGCTATTGGAAACACACTGGATTCATGAAATTCTATTGCTTATTAAACAAAAGGAACATGTTATCACTATCATCCGAAAATAACACATTAGAAATCCAAGCACAAGACACTCGAATTATCAATATTAAATTCCGTACCATTAGACAGTTTTTAACGTAAGGTATTAGGATGTACAAAAAGACTAAGGGCAAAAGAAGTCTAATTATGACTCAAATCATATTACTGACAGACAACAGTGGAAAGTTCTAGCTTATTTAGAATTTAATTTTGGTTTTGAGTTTCCCGAGTGGCCTTCGAAATTGGGAGATTCTAGTAAATTCTCATCATGTGAATTAGAATCCCGAAATGCTGGGAACGCTTCCCAAGGAGAGTTGAACTCGAACCGCCTGAATTCCTGAGCCAATTCAACGGGTTCGATAACCACACGATAGTATTGGTCGTCAAATCTCACCTGAAAAACAAGAGTTAATACCACATAGTCAAGTATCCACTTCGTTTAACCTAACTTATTTATAAGAAATGAAGTTATCATTGTCAGCACTATCAATAAATAAGATTAAAAATAACATACCATTAAGTATGTAACGAAGTTATCACCTTTGGAAAGTTAAGAGCCAGATGCATTCATCTGGACTGCTAGGTCGTTGATGACCAATGTCATAAATGGAATAAACTAGTTAAAACACTCATCGACTATTAATTAAGAGAATGTGCAGTGTGAGGTACTTATTTGTACAACTTGTAATGATGAAATATTCAGTGTATTAGGCTTCGAGTTAGTCTTAGTGAGAACGCTAGTACTGCTTGGCTGTGAAAACCTGTAATGGTGGAGCAAGATGTTCGATTCGCGACCAGATTGTTACACGTTGAGTGATTGAATCACTGAAACACATCTCTACAGATACTTATAAATGTTATGTGAGCTTGTAAAAGTAAAACACACATTCAGTACTGTGAAACACATATGGAGAAATTCGAACAACACTTCTATTTGAAGTTTGTGCTGATGATGTCGTTCAGAAGAACGATGAAAGCTCCACGACCAAACCATCCAGCTCAGAGAACAAAACTCTACCAAAATCATCCACCTGAGCTACAAATCTTCCCCACCGTGATTAAAACCTTAGCTAAGAATTTTATTAAGCCCAAAAGAATGGTTAAAATATATGAATTTATTGTGTCCTTCGAAACATGATGAAAAACTAGCCGTATCAGCACATATGCGTCTGAGCTTTAACCAGTAGGCCTGAGGTTCATACGCCGCCTTACATACTCCAGTTCGGGCAACTGTGTAGTATAGCTAATCATTAAATAAATAAAGTGAGGTCAAAAAGCGAACACATCAATCTGTACTTTATACATGGTTAAATCAAGATGTAATATGAAGTAAAATAATTTTCTATGCCATCCTATTCGGCAAATGGTATTGATAAGTCTTTCTACAGTGACTGAATGGTCTAGTTTACTAATGGCAGTGTCAAGGGGAAATACATTTATGTGATCGAGTTAACTGGACCAGCAAAGTTGATACGTACTATGGACCATGGGCATTTCATGCGATTACAGGGTAAGGTACACTCATTCAGTAAGCTTTTGTGCCAGGTGAGGCTGGGAAAAAAACTTTCTGACCTAGTTCATAGGGAAAGTTTCGCGCAACTGATTTCCTGTAGGGATTTTAAGATTATGAATGTAGGAATGAAGCACTCTGGATTATCAAACGGTTTCCGAATTGCATACAATGGTCTAAAATAAAGATTCTTGTTCACGGAAAGCCACTAAGAGAAGTTTTCGTCGTCAACTCGTAACTAATTTTATTGTTTTTAGAATGATCAAACGATCAGGTAATTCTAGCCGTATAAATGTTAGATACGGAGAGAGATAGCTAAGACGACATGACAAATGGTGCATCGCATAACCCCCTATAAGTAGAACTGAGATACTTGCTTCTCTCGATGTGAACTATTTAAGCCTAGATAAAGAATTTGCTTGTTTGAAGTCTTATTTGTGGAGATGATGAGTTAAAAAACCCAACCTTCAAAAGAAGTAGTGTCTAACTACGAAACCAGTCAGTTGTACGTGTCAGGATATCACATATGAAGTCAAACGCAATAAAGAAAAGTATACATCTCTGGTCATACATTAATTAACTCAAATGTCGACCTGTAGAGAGTGATACTATCTCTTGTTCTTTTATTTAAAAGCAATTTTCACCTGAAGTTGATGCTCTTTTGAACTGCATTTTGTATGTTTAGTTGATGTTGATGTATCTACTACCTTAATTCGCATCTTCTTAGTTTTCTTTCCTATGATAATGATGTGAAGTACGACAACTCAGACTAACACATAATTATGCGTCTTGCTCCTTTCATGTATGTATACATGTATACAATAAGTCATACAATAAACGTTGAAACGATAATTTAGTGGCATTAGGACTAGCAATAAAAAAAATTTCATCTCCATACCTCTGTATATCCACTTAGAGGAAAATCTCTCCGTTGAGGATGCCCTATAAAACCATAGTCAGTAAGGATTCGACGAAGATCCGGATGATCATAGAAAAAAACACCGTACATGTCCCACACCTCCCGTTCATACCAATTTGATGCTTGAAAGATGGAACAAGACGAGTCGATCGGTGTAAGTTCGTCTGTGTAGGTCAAGACACGAATTCGAGAGTTATACCTCAAAGAAAGAAGATTATAAACAATCTACAATGATCAAACGAGAAAAACACGAACGATACCTGGAACCTATATTTTCTTGATGGTATGTCAACAGCAGTAATATCCGAAAGGTTTAAGAATTGAGCACTGTGATGGCATTTCAGGAATGAAAGAACTGGAACAACTCCATCAGGATGAATACAAATTTCAAGTTCTTTGGTATGACCTATTTGCACCTTTTGGACAAACTTAGGTAAACATTCACCAACGTAAAAGCCGAATGATGATAGTCTCTTAATCTCTTGTTCATCAGCTGGAATTTGTTGTTTCACTTCATTAGTACTACTCACGTATGACGAGTAACGGTAGACAGGAAACGTAAATACAGCTTTACTAATACCTAGAATCCAGTAAAAATTCCACTGAAGGCGCACTTACATTTCAGCGATTCTCTAGAAGGACGCATGAAATTTAGCATTTCGAGGACGTCAGTCAGCCTAAAATCTAAATAAAGACAGCAAAAACTGAAGTATTGATATTGACATAAAACTAGTTTTGGTGATCCACACCTAGTAGTAATGCTAAAGATCTACTTGACAAATTATAAGACAGTAATTACACTATCACTAAACTTAAGCTTCTAGTCATAAAAGAAAACTGAATTAACATTGAAAACACTGAATGGTGATGTGACAAATATTTAATCCACTGAATTAATCAATAGAAAATTAAAGCAATCAACTGAGGACAGCTTAAAATATGCAGGACAGATCCTATGTAGCTGTCTTTTCGCAGTACACCTTGAATCTAACACTGAAAGAGCTTGAGGTTTTAACTAGTTTTTTTTAGCAAATCCGGAGGCGGCAAGGATGATTTATTACACCGAGATAAAGACTAAAGATATGAAGTTAAAAGTCGTTGTATCACAACTAATATCCATTTGTGGTTGGAGCCCTAACTGGAATTGTACTCCAACACCAAACCCCTTTCATAATTACCCTACTATTGTTTATGCGACCTTGAAGGGTTAAAGTGCCAGTCGTCAGTAGTAAGGATAGTAGGTTGGTGAACCTGTGTTAATCTTGACAGATTGCCTTCCAATGAAGGTCCAGTGTTCCTTTGAAAATATTCACTGATGTGGCTAATACCACTTCTCTGGGTAGGGCGTTCCAGTCTTGAGTCTTCAGTCTTCAGTAATAAGGATAGGAGGTCTATCAACCTACATTAATCCTTGCAGTTTGTAATACTGTGGAGGTCCAATCTCGTTTTGAATATATTAACAGAAGGTGCTGATATTACATGTTCCGGTAGAGAATTCCAGTAATTCACTACTCGGTGCGAGAAACGGTACTCCAGACTTAAACGGTTTGATCTCGGTTTTTGAACTTTCTTCGAATGTCCTCTCAAATGATCGGTTCTAGATGGAAGCAAAAAATAAGACATGTTAATACCAAGGTCATCGTTCAGTATACGATAAGCCAATATTAGATTACCCCGTATTATAATGTAAGATAACGGAAATAAGTTAAGGTGCCTCAATCTGTCTTCATAAGATAGGCCAGATAGACCTTGTACCATCTTAGTAGCTCGTCGTTGGACTCTTTCTAGCATATCTGCTTCATACTTGAAACAAGGACACGCTGCTTGAATCTCGTATTCTAAATGTGGTCGCACATAAATCGGGTATAGTAATTTAAACATTTCATCATCTAAATACTGGAAAGACCTACGAATTGACAATAATACCCTGTAGCCTTTCGTAGCAGCAGCCTTACAGTGACTAGTAGTTTTGAGATCATTGCTTAATATGACGCCTAAATCTCTATAGTTTCTTGCTTTGAGTAGCAAGAATCCACGTAGTATATAGTAATACGATTCATCAGAGTTATTTAACTGCATCACTACACTCTTATTAGGATTTACTTCTAGTGACCACCTATCTAACCATGCCACCAATGAGCTAAGATCGTCCTGTAATACTATTCTATCCGACATACTATGTATGGATCTCCAAATCTTTATGTCATCAGCGAAGAGTAGAACGGATGATTTTGCTACAGTTGGTAATTCATTTACACAAAGCAAAAAGAGAAGAGGGCCTAGAATTGTACCTTGGGGAACCCCACTTTTTACAGGTACCCACGAGGAGAGAGCCCCATTAACCCTTACCCTTTGTCTCCTGTCATGGAGAAAGTTACTTATCCAATCGACGACTGTATAATGGATTCCAAAACGTTCCAGTTTGAATTAAAGACCAGAGTGGGAAACCTTATCAAAGGCTTTAAGTAGATCTATGAAAATCACATCCACAGGAATATTCCGATCCTTTGCTGCAGCCCAATCTTCTTGTGCAATGAGGTTTGTCAAGCAAGATAGGCCTTTCCGAAAACCATGTTGTTCCCTGGAGAAAAGATTTTGCCTTTCAACATAATTTATAACAGCCATCCGAATGATCTTCTTCATCAGTTTAGCTAACGAGGCCATAGTTCCTAACTAAATCCCTACTCCCAGCCTTATATACCGGACTTATTATGGCGTCTTTCCAGTATCTAGGAAGTCTGGACTGTCTCAGAGACATGTCGAATAGTATCACTAATGGTTCAGCAATTTCATCTGATATGGCTTTCATAATCCTAGGATGAATATCATCAGGACCACTGGACTTATTAGTTTTGAGATGCTGAAGTAGCCTTAAAACAGTACCTTGCTCAATGACTACAGGATCCATCAGCGAGCCGTCACGGTCGCAACGAATCATTGGTCGTTCCTCATTACCCATAGAAAACACTTTACTAAAGTATTTCGATAAAGCTTCAGCTTTTTCGGCATCATTGTCTGCTAAGATTAACGGATTTTCTCGTATCAAAAGTGATGGAATTCCATCACTTCTCTTAGTTCACCTTTTTATATACGAGAATAACCGTTTCGGACTATATCTAGAATCCCTAACCAATTGTTTTTCGTATGATAGTCTAGTCTTACTTATTAACGCTTTACAGGCATTCCTAATCTTACAATAACTGGATCTGTATTGTTCTAAGCCAGTAGAGATGAACATATCCCAGTGATTCTTCCTTTTTCTAAGGAGTTTCCTGACCGTTTTAGTTATCCATGGTGGACTATTATTCGGTCTTCGCGGTACCAGGTATGGTATGAACGGGGACGTAACTAGTCTACATTTACCTTTAAATACAGAGCATGCTTCTTCAACTGATGTGCTAGTATCTACTAACCAATTTATCATAGCAGCATATTCCTGAATGGCTGATATGTTAGCTTTCCATACATTTTGGCGAGGTGTAACCTGATCGTATAACATGTCCCTAGTTCGAAACGTGAATGACAAAACAGCGTGATCGCTGTTCACTAACGATGGAAGAATATATAAGTCGACAACATTCTCAGACTCATGAGTGTGTAGTGACTCACATTTTTCACGAGAACACGATTGGTTGATTAAAAAATTATTATTATGACCGACTGTACCAGTGCTTGTTTTAAAGTGCTTTTGTTTGACTGTGCTAATGACAGCTATATTGTGCTTCCATTCTTATTCATACACTTCGATTGTAACTTCGCGCGAATTCCGTTACCTTCTGTAACCAAGCTTGTATCCTGGCACGATCTCGGTATCCTTTCGATGCCACGAGATCGCCAGCAAGTAAACATCGACTTGATCCATTAATTGCCTTCTGATATTTGGCTTCTCGGGGATTTTATGGAGTCATTTGGCACGAGCTTCTTTGTAGCGGTGTTCATAGTCAATCTCGACTCGACGCCACGCTACAAGTGATTACCAAGTCCAGCAGAGAAGAACCCTTGTTAGCACCAAAACGTGTGGGTTGGGATACATGATGCACTAGCGCATGCTCCATTATTGTTATAAGGAACCTACTATCAAAGGAGTTTATAAACCCTTCTGTGGTCATCTCAGCTCAGCTAATATCAGGTGCATTAAAGTCGCCTATTATCAAGCATCTGATATTTTTACTTCGAAGATGAAGGTGCTCTAAAATAAAGACATCAGCTAAGCAGATTGGGTTGCGATAGATGACACCTAGCATAAATGTACTACATCCTATAGCTAACTTACAGCTAATGACTTCACAAGGACATCTATCATGAGATTCGCTAGTAGAGGAGCGGATATTTATGTCACTGACTACTCGATGTGAAAAACGGGACCCCACTTTAAGTTTATTAGATCGCGGTTTGTGAACCTTCTTGCTATGACCTCGGAGATTATTAGTGCTGGAGGGAGCGAAAAGATAGGACATATTAACACCCAAATCATGATCAAAGATGCGAAATGCCAGTATAAGATCACCTCGAGTCCTGCGATACGACAAGGGGCAAAGGTTTAGGCGTTTTAAACGCTCATCGCAAGGGAGTTTAAAAAGACCCTTCACTGATTTTGTTCATACACGCTCAAGTGAGTCGGTATCCTTTACCAGACATGGGCCAGGTGCTTAGATACAGTACTCTCAATGTGGTCTTACATAGGTGGTATATAAAATTCGAAACGTCTCCTCGTTAAAGCATTTGAATGCTCGGGGAAGTGACCATAACTCATGAAAACCTTTGGCAGCAGCTGCGTTGCAATCCGTAGTTGTTTTCAAGCCATGACTTATTATTACTCCTAAGTCTACATTCTTGAATGCGTTGAAGAGGTTTACCATCAGTAGTATGATAGTAACTATTGCAGTGACCGATGTGTATTAGCACACTCTTCCTAGAATTGATTCCTAAGCCCCAACCTCGAGCTCATATAACCGATTCGTCTAAGTCAGCTTGGAGATCAAAATGATCGACCTCACTTTTCATTGTTCCCCAGATTTTTACGTCATTCACAAACAAAAATGTCGACGATCTAAGCAACAGCGGCAACTCGTTAACGTAGAGAAGTAAGAGCAGAGGGCCTAAGATGGTGCCTTGGGGTACACCACTTTTGACTGGCTTCCAATCGGATAGCGTTCCGTTGACCCTCACTCTCTGTCTGCGGTCACATAAGAAATTTCCTATTCACTCCTGTACAGAACCTATTATTCCGAAGTTCGAGAGCTTGTGCATAAGACCTAAGTGTGAAACCTTGTCAAAAGCTTTGCAAAAATCTATGAATATTACATCGATAGACAGACCGTTATCTAGGGCTGCTGTCCAGTCCTCTCTCGCAATTAGTAAGTTAGTCAAGCATGAACGCTTGTTACGAAACCCATGTTGCTCAGGAGCTAACATTGTGTGAATCTATGTGACTTATCAACTTAACCCGAATTATCTTTTCAATTAACTTAACGAATATGCTGGTTAGGCTGACAGGCTGGTTATTCAAAATTACTTCTCTAATCTTGATGACATCAGTGTTTATGGCAGCACTCCCGAACAACACAATGCTAACTTGAAATCGGTACTTCAGCGCCTTAGACGACACAACTTAAAGGTAAAACCATCCAGATGCCGACTGCTACTGAAAGAAGTAAT